TTTTTTTTTTTTTTTTTTTTTTTTTTTTTTTTTTGTTTTCCCGTTATTTTTATCGTCGTTTTAATTATTTCAACAGTACACGCTAAACGTAAAATGTAATTAAAAAATAAAAAAAAATACATTACAAAGAAACGGAAAAAAAACACAACAAAAAAAAAAAAAAAAAAAAAAAAAAAAAAAAAAAAAAAACATAATCGAGTAAAAATAATTATTGGTCAACAAGGGAATATAATGCGCGCGCATACGTACACATACGCGTGCGTGCGTGCGTTATTGCTAGGTATAAATAAGGGGATCGGGAGTGTGTAATAATATTACCGACGACTGTACGTATTGGTCGCCAGTGTCACACATATTTAATTGGTACGTAAAAATATATGTATATATATATACACTCACACACGTCTGTTATACACATAAATATATATTGGTTTTTAAACACACTCGGATCCTGCAGTGCGTTGCTGTGTATAGTGTCGGGCGTGTATTTGACAAACACAGATTTTAGCCTTCGGCCGGATATCCGCGACTCGGAGGGCGGGTCGACGACGCATTATTCTTTGTAATACGTGTCGAATGAGGGGGAACAAAAAAAAAAAAATAAAATTAAAAAAAAAAAAAAAAAAAAAATTACACAATTTATATTTATTTATTATAATGTCGTACAGTATTTCATAATGTGTACCGATCGTACAGATCGATTAGTTAATTTAATTTACTATACGAGTAATTGATGTGAATAGAATGAGATTCGGTTAATTTAAATTACTCGTTTTCGTGGCAACAATAACGTTGAAAATGTTGCGTTTCGTAAACTAAATAATTAAGGTAAATATCGTGTGGGCCATAGAGGGGCCGATTTATTAAGTTAATACGAAAATAAGAGAACCTTTTTTTTTTTTTTTTTTTTTTTAGGTTCGTATTCGTCCATGTTTAACCATGGCGATAAAATTTAAGTTACTTTTAATAATGTTGTTGTGTTTCAACATTTTTAGTGTTCGTATTGAACATAAAATAAATAAATAAATAAAAAAATATTTTACGAAACCAATTTTTGGTTTCCATAAATATTGCAGTAATGTGTATTAATCGATTAGTCGGCGATCTCGTTACAAGATCACACGACTCGATATAAATTTAAGGTGCGGCTTGAGATTCGTTTTAACGAATAAAAAAAAAATATTTAAACGTTTTTAGTGGTAAGCCGCACTCAGAACGAAAAGTATACTGTACGCATAGTTAATTTGATTCAATAGTTTATTATATATACGTACACCTAGAACAAATAAATCAGTAAGTAACATTGTAACTATAGTCGTGCAATGCTACGCGCTGAAATGTCTATTGCATCATTTTTTTTTATAATAATATATGTATTGCAACTGTAACGAATAAACTGAAATACGACATTGAAAACGATGTCGTTGAAAAACGATAAACCGATCACCTTATATTATTTAAATCCGTATTAAGAAAATCCGAAATCGAATATATTTCACGAAACGATAGGTAACCGGCCGACAGACCCGATAGCACGTATAGGTACGGGTTTTTTTAAAAAAAAAAAATATTAAACGAATTTTAAGTGCCGCGGAAATGCGTTAATTTAAAACGGTGTCCATAGGGTAATGCAATTCGTTACGCCGTTTTAAATTGCGATTTTATTCGAAATGTTCTGCGCTAGAACGTATAATTTGTATTATAATAAATAATTAAGAAAACGGCTTAAAACATATTTGATATGTCCGATGAAAGAAACGAAACATTCACAAGATTATACTGTACAGTTAACATTTACAGGAGTCATTGTTTTTTTTTTTTTTAATTATTCTATACTTCAGTCAGTAACAATATTATATTATCATAAAAATGCACGTAGACAGATCAACGCCTATCAAAGAATCGAATTATTTTAACCCCAAACGATAGATAGCCGCGTGTACTATAAAACTATAGGTACCCATTATATCACTACGGAGTTGAATTTCAATGCGATTCGCACCGGGGCATTCGTTTTTTTGTTTTTTTTTTTAAGGAGATTTTCTGTGCCCATACACAGCAGAGTTCACGGGACACCCAGTATAGAGTAATATCGTTCTTACTGTGTGTCCAATTGAAAAGAAAAAAAAAAAAACGGTAGATTATTGAATCGGTATATTTTCTAACGAAGCGATTTAATTTTATCTAGAATAGACGAAGACGAGGAGTATCTGGTAATAGTTCAAAATTTAAAGGTGTTTTTTTTTTTTTTTTAAAGGAGATGTGTTGCGGTGCATGTACACTGCAGAAAAATGCCCCGGTTCGCATTGTTTTCCCAAGTTCGCTACATTTTTCGAACGAGAATTTCCGGAATTTTCGAAATTGTATTTAAGCTGAATTGCCGTGTTCCGAAATCGTTAACAATCTAAAAGAAATTTTAGCGCATTTCGCAGCCACGGCGTTATTTCGAAATTTCACGGCGCAAAAGTAGGTTTTTGTTTTCGGGAGCGTTATGTGGGGCGTCGTTACATTCCCGGGCCCTTGAATGCATCGCGGAAAGCTGGACGGAAAAAACGGACAACTATAACGCGAATACCTATTGTATTACGTGCCCGCGTCGGTATCGTACCCGCGTATAAATAACTGCGGTCGGCAAACTGAATATTACCATAATGTTTATATCATGCGAAAAATAACGGATACGCGCGCACGTCGGGTTGACCACAATGTACAACGGCGATAATCGTTTTGTATTAAATACGGGAATTTGTACGGGACATTATTATTATTATTATTATTATTATTATTATATTGTGCGACGGGAGATGGCACGTGTATACAGCGCGTTCGCGCTCCCGCGGGTAGCGCCGAATATTCCGGCCCGTTTTCCGGAGACGATACTGTGATGCGCGTAACCCGTCTTTTGGGGCACGCGTGTGCATCACGATTTATTATTAGTATTATCACTTTATTTTGTTTTTTTTTTTTTTTTTTTTTTTTTCCAAAGCGAACACCAGTTTCTCACGCTAAATTCGAACAGTCTTGTTGCTTTTCGTTGGTCACATTGACGGTTACGATTTGTTTTTTTTCTACTTCAAAAATTAATCGAGATACAGCCAGGGGTGGAGTACCAACCGAATTCAGGTCGGAAGATAAAACTTTATCCCGGCCGCCACCCAATACAACACGTGCTTACCGAACGAATTTTTCCCGTGCTTTAATTTGAATCTAATGGCGAAAAGCCGAGAATTTGAATTGAGGGCAGCTAAATAGGCTTTTACTTGAGAAACGAGCAGAAATACTAGGCGGAGGGGAGTATGGAAATCCGAAAAATTTAGGAAAGTGTTTTCATCGATTTTAATGTACTACGAAAATGTACGTAAAACAAACTTAATAGATGTTGAAAAAAAAATGTAATATGTGTCTTGACATAACTAAGTTTTTAAACAATACAAATAAGTAAAACATTGTGAGCGAATTTCAGAACACCAGACCATCTAGAAAATTCTTATTTTTTAAACGACCCACTCCACCCCTATAAAACGATCTGAAATTGTTATGATATATGATTTATTGATTTTTCAAACAAATAATAATGCGCCTTATTGTGTGCGCGTTATTTTATGGTTATTTATTCACAAACTGTTTGTTATCGCAAGACAGTAGTCGAATTTTACCGATTTTCAAATCGTGCATTTAAATTTTTTTTTTTTAAATCTATTAAAAACAAAAAAAATTTAAAGTTTTCATTCGAATCAAGATGGCCGTATCTCGGGTAATATTTGAAATGGAAAAAAAATCATATCGAACGAAAATTGCTTGAAAAAAAAACACGATTATTGCGATCTAGTTTCGAAAATAAATGTTGCTATTAAAAAAAAAAAAGTAATTCGCGTTAATTTGTAATTTATCATAAACCGCATATACTTCGGTATTGCTTGTAAATTGGAATTTAAATCCAACGTCATCCGGCCGAAATATTTAGCCCGAACACACTGTATATCATTATGGTTTCTAAAGTTTCGCATAAAACGTCCCTCTGTTGAACTCGAAATTCCCGGCTAGTTTAAACCGGCAACAAAAAAGGAAGAAAGAAAATGATTCCCGTTTCCGAGTATTTTTCGTGATAGTTGATAACGTAACGATTTTTTGGTCAGCGACGGTGCGTGCCGTACAAGTTTTCGCATTATTTACAAGCACGACACTATCCGGGTCTCATACGTGACCTCGTACCTCCCCGAAATCCAAAAGTTCGACGTTCTTAACGTCTGTACTTACGACAAAAAAATAATAATAATAATCATAAACCAGACTGGTGTAATAATTACGGCAATCGTCGCGATACGTGTTTCGGTATTATACGCGATCGATCGGAGTGGGGGAGGGGGGGGAAACTTAAAGTAATCTTAAAATTATATAATATACGTGTATACACCTACCGTGCATTTGCGACCGTCCGAGAAACGATCGTACAAAACAAACGGCAGCGGAACCGGAGCCGACCGTTTGCTTATGACCAATATTTATACGCGTAGGTATATATTGTGTATAATACGATAAAACTACCATGTAGTATTTGAAAGCGGAGGGGGAAAAAAACGGGGAAAATATCGGATCGCGAGACCATTTTAACAGGTTCGCGTCGTTGTACCGAGGGGATCGGCGACGGTTGTCCGGATTTCATCCGGTTTTGTAAATCATTGAGCGTTTTTTTTTTTTTTTCTACGTTTATTTTAACGGGCGCCCTTCAACGGTACGACGTTATGATTGTGGCGTCATGACAATATGGTGCGGACATTATGATAGTTTCGGATCGATAAAACCCGCAGACAAAACCGCGGTACACGCATACTCAATTGCGTGTGAAAGATTCCAATTTCGAAAACGGATTCGGTACTTAGACTTCATTAGGCCGGATCAGGGCGCGTTCGAGTTACCGTTTACGAAAGCCGAATTAACCTTTTTCCAAGGATTTCCGGTAAAACAATTACCGATGTCCATTTCCGACATAATATCATGTAGGTAGGTAATAAGGAAGTATAAAGAATCCGTTTTGAAAATTGAAACCTATCAAACACCGCGATTCCCAGCGCTCGAATTACGGGAAGTGTGGATTTCCTCTACTCGCTTCTAATTTTTTTGTACCCTCTCCTTACTAATTATTTCTATTCTATTGGTACGGAGGGACGGTACGTTTCTTTTCGCAAACAATGGTATTTATATAAAAAAAAAAAAGAAATCAAGTTTTATTATATCATCGTCCAGTCTTAAATTAACTACCGTTATTATATTATTGTTTGCCCCGATAATAAAGCGAGTAATTTAATATAAAAATGTATTTCTATTTCAAAAAAGCAAAAAATTGTATAAGAAAAAAACCGCATAAATATGTAACCTTCGAAATTTATTATCGGTTGTAATTTTTATTTCGCGAATTACTTCCGGCGGTTATTATTGCGAGTGTCGCAAGGAGTGTACGTGTAAAGTAGAGGACGGGGGCTAGAGGGCAATGCGGTAAGGTCGATTTCGACGCTCATACCAGTTACGGTATCCGTTCGGGTGTCCCTCCTCATCCGATTATGTTATACTTCCGATTCGAGCGCCGGACCCCGGATTCCCCCGTTGTGAGCAAATACAGAGTTTTGCGGCCGCGGGCTTATTTTCCGTGCCGTCCGTTACCATGATATCATAATTTTATCCGTTGTCACGACTAAACGATAGTGTTCGATAAACGATAAACGCGAACGGGCACCGTCGACGATCCCCCCCCTCCGTGTAATTCGACCCGCGCGCGTTTCTTCCGGAAACGGCGCGAGCGCGAATACCGTCCGATTTTCCTCCGTGTGCAGGGTGTTTTTTTGTGTTTTGTTTTTTTTTCTCAATATTTTCAATAAAAAAAAAAAAAAAAACATTGTTTCGCCGGGCGCTGACGACACCGGGCGTGCGATTTGCACATTGTGGTAACGGGTCCCGTGTTCATTCGCTGTAAGCACACGTTCGGTGCGCGGGCCGTGTGCGTGCGCGGGTTTTGTGCCTAAACGCGCGTGCACAACAATAGCAATACGGGCACACGAAACAATGGTGGCCGGAGTTTTACGAGCCGCGCCGCGGCGGATTTCGCCGCCTCCCTCCATCGCGTCCCCACTCCTTCTGTCCTACCCCTCACTCCCCGCTCCCGACCAACAGGTGTCGTTTCGTGCGCTCGCTGGTCACGCCTATAATACCCGCGTACGATAATAACACAATATAATGTCGTTATGTCGTATTATATTGTATTCGGCGTATTCCCCCCCCCTCACACCCCCTCCCGTAAAAACGGGCGGAGAATTCGGTATTCCGTGCGCACGCGAGTTTGTTGGTTTTGTTAAAAATTAGGTACGCGATTATAATATGATTACGCCTTACAGTGGGGGGGGGAGCTACAATCGGATAGCGTGTCAACATTCGGTAGAACCGAATGTCGCGGCGGCGCTGTCGGTTTCGACATTATAGAGTGAACGGCAGTGGTCGACTATCCGGTTTAAGTCCGTAAAAACAATTCCAAAAAGGACTTTTTTATTTCAGGAAAGCGGCATTTTTAAAATTTTACGAACATTTCCGTCGGCTACACGAAGCGAATACATTAATTTTCGGTATACGCATATATGACCGTTACTTTATGCGTCCGTTGTTACTAATATCATATTTGGCGTAGAACTAGAAGGAATAGAATATGGTTAAACGAAAATGTATTGTTCTAATAAATAAAGCGAAGTGAGGCCCTTCTAGCGCTCAATAACCTAACTGGTTTTTATTGCGTTCTCAAATTGAAATTGTTTTGAAAAAGAAACAAAATGGTGTGGTTTTTCTCTACTACACTGATTCACTCTAACTCATTTTTGTTTTTTGTTTTAGTATTGCAGTCTTGAACTGGATAGTCGATTATTATCAAACTTTAAAGTAAGAGTATTTCGGTTTGTGTTTGTCCATTGGTCTTTTTTTTCGGGGATACTTGCTTTTTTCGAGCTAGATACACAAACGATTTTTATATCATAATATTCAATGTAACATTCCAGCGGCGTATTTAGAATTTCGCCAAGATTTTTCTTACTAAAATGTGAAGAAATATGATTTAAAAAATAGGCATGTATTGATACTGAAAAAATGGCCAAGGGATCTCCCGTAAATACGCCACTGTAACTCGTACCTCGCTGAAAAATTTAAATATCCGAAAAAAAACACTCACTTACAAACACGGCCAGAGTTTTTAGAAAAAGTTTTACAACAAGCCAATTCACTCTATTATTAAAATTAACGGTTCTACCGAACGAAAATTTGACGTTTTCCGATTTTCGATATACGTAACATAATATCATATTATATTGTATTATTATCGGCCGTTTTCCCCTTTTAAATGTGTACCTGCGTGTACATTAAATTATATAAAAATATGTTTGTATAATACATGTAATAATAAAATGTGAATTCGAACCTCGTCGTAGCTTACCTCGTTTAATTAATTTGGTCGCTTTGTCCACGTCGTACGTGTTGTGTTGCAACACGAACAGACGAAACGCGTCTAAGGTCTCGCAGTCTTTGGTACGGTCAATCAGTTCGCGTAGCATGTTCCTCACGGACTTTACGTCCAATATGTTACTTTGATCGCTCATCGTTACTGATTTATGATCTACAAACAAACGTAAATCATCGAATTTATTATTATGTATTTTAAATAAAAATATGAATTCTAGATCAATATCGGTGCACGTAGTATGCAAGAATGTGTAAAAATCCGTAAAAAAACAATGACGACGAAAAACATTTGATTACTATAAAAATAGAAAATTATAGAAACTTTATTTTATAAGAATATATATATATATATATATTATAACCAGGAAAGATTTTTTTTGGGCAAAGTCAATTTTAGGGGAAAACGTATAGGTAGGATATAAATCTGGAAGTTCACATATCAGTTTTATATTGTAAATTAATAATGCAAGCGATAAAAATAGTATTATGTTATACTTAAATGAAAGACAGTTCAAGTACTAAATAGTATAATTTGAACGGATTGACGGATGCTATGAGCTATGTACAAAGTTGGGAAACACTAGATTTTCTCATCAAATATAAACCGAATGACAAGAAACTGATTTGAATTTTCTCATTTCAATCGTTCTTGCAAATCCTTTCCATTTGGATTCTTGTAAAATATCGTTTGTCTATTTGTGTATAGAAGAGCAAACATAGAAAGCAAACACTTTTTTAAAGCTATTTTAACATTTGAGAATATTGAAAAAAGTTGAAATTTTACGAGAAATGTTAAAATGTTAAGTAAGTATAATTGATTAAACCTCACGAAAACATGACGTGATGGTTATAATTGCACATATAATAAACACTATTTATATCTATATTTGTCCGATTTTCAAACAATTGATTATTTGTCTTAATAATATATTGCCGACGTTCTTAAAATATAAAAATGACGACGCCGGGGGCAGATATTATCTCTCCCCTCGCGTTAAACACGGTTCCGTTCAGTTCTTATACCTGCGCGGTGTAATCTTAAGTAACCTTCAGCGCCCGAATTCAAAATCGTTCGCACCGAACAAGTTTTACGTGTGTCGATATTTTTTCTAATTTGGACGGATCCGTCAAGAGCATTTTATAATAACGACACGACGGCCGAAAATGTCCAAAATAACCTTCTAGCCGTGTCGCTATTGTGCGTGCACTAAATGCTATTACAACACATATTTCGATTTGACTTATTTCAATGCTGTACGTAAGATCGGTTAATTTCTTGGCATACATTTATATGAGCACGTTTTAATGGTTCTAATGTAATAACATTTCTCTCGCGTACAGCCTCGGTTACAGAGATTTAATTAAATCCTTAGTCTTTGCGAGAATTAATCACTATAGCCGATGCAATAATTATTGTAATAATAGTCGACAGTAAAATGCTGAACACTGGTATAGTTGATAATATTTTTTATGGATTGTTTTTATCGACATTGGGTACCGATACTCTGATAATATATTTACAATGCGCTGTACTGAACAATTCGCAATATATTTTTACAGTTCTAAGAATAAGAAAAAAATTGGCATAAACTATATTAAAACATAGGTATTTTCAAAATAATTAAAATATGCTTTTTAAATACACGATGTCTTATAAATCTAAAAAAGTCAAATAGTTTTGTCTGGGTTCAACTTATTGTCGTAAATATTATAGTAAATATTTCAATAAGTATATTCTAAAATCTGACGTCAGGTAAATTAGTACTTAACCTTTAGTACCTATATGTTTGATAAAGTCTAATATTGGTGCAAAATTGAATAAGCAACAGATACTATAGGAACTTACATAATATCTAGTAAAACGCGTAGGAATATTAACAAAATAAGTACATTTCAATGGCGTATTTGTTCATGGGAGTGTCCAATTAATTTTCTCAGTGCGGAGTAGTGGGGTGACTTGACGGCTTTCTCCCCCTCTACATCCCTCAACTACCGTGCTTCGAAAAATATATATGATGTCAACAGTTATAACAATATTTTGTTTTTTAATAATGTCACCAGTCACGAATATTTTCCTAACAGACTGTATGTCTTGTATTGGAATCTCAATATTTTTTATAATTTGATATCGTTTAGCTATGGTACCAACTGCAGGCAAACTGGCACGGATTTATGATTATCATTTTTTTTTTTGTATATAACTTTATAAAATAACAGAATTTAACTCGAGACAAAATTAGGTATAAAAGAGACAGGAGAGTCCGGATATTCATTAACCTACCTCCCCTGGTTCCAGAAATGCGGTACTGGTCTTTTTAGCGGTTTTAGACTCGTACAGAACTAACGTGTCTCATTTTATGTAAATTGTACAATAGTACAAAACTTGTTATTCCCCATATTAACAATATAATGTATTGTTTATAAACATTTCAATGTTGCTGATTGTCGATAAACAGGTATAGGTAAATGTTGAAGACTCCCTGACCCGAATTATAAGAGACGTAGTCCAACTTGAACATCGCAATATATTTCTCAATCAAAATATTGGAGGCAATTAAATTCCAAAATCAAAATTTACACTTATTTACAAAACTCGGGATTTTATGCATTTAAAGACTACAAAAAAGTTATCAAAAACGTCGTTAAAGCCTTGAAAACGCAATTATAAATCAAATAAAAAAAAAATATGGTAATATATGTTTTTTAAAGTCCCCTCTCTAACGGTTCTCTTTATAACTTATAAAATAATATTTTTGAGTAAGTTCGAAACAAATGATTAATTTAAGTTTTCAAATAAAATTGTAAGTGACTATTATAAAAAAAAAAAATATTTTGTGACAATCGTTTTTTTAGTGTTAGAAAATTACATGTAATGGTTAGAGCCGTTATGGGAGGAACACCTCTGGGCCTTCTGTTATTATTGCTTTTTAAAATATTGTTTTAGGGCTCCTTGAAGTTTTTGAGCTATTTTTTGTAGATTTTAAATACATAAAGTCCCGAGCTCTGCTTATATAAGTAAGAAACAAAATTAATTTAAAACTTTATTACTTGTAACGATAAGTTAGTTTAAAAAGTAAAAAAAGAGTTTATGCACCACTGTAATTGTATGGGTGAGAAGTCAAACATATTGTCGTTATTGTCGTATATTTTTATATTTTTTCCAATATTATTAAAAAAAACACGAGAAAAATTAAAAAATGACTTCGTGAAATGTACATTAGAACGAGACGCTACACTTAAAATCGCAGTATGGATGCTGGTAGAAAAGTTGTTAACATACGGGAAAAAATAATATAAAAAAAGAAAAACACATAATAGTAATTCACTAATAATATAGGTAATATTACCTATGTTGCATTACTATTCTAAAACTCGCCCAGTACATTTTTACATTTTTGAAAAACAACGTTTATTTAGTATTCCGTATACATTTTAATATAATCGTTAATTATGTAAAGTTTTTTTTTTTTTTTTTATATGTGTATAAAATATATACCAACGTAATAAAATCCAACAAAGGTTCCGTTTAAAGAGCTGTTTAATATGAAAATTTAACACAAAGAGAATTCTGTATTAAAAACCCTTAATTACATGTATAATATGTAATGATATTTATGCCGATATTGGGGAAAATGTCAAATTATTTTTATTGCGAATAAAAATTAAGGACTGTGCATATATTATAGGTAATTATTTTATTAATAATTTCGAATTTTTATCTGATAGTTGCAGTAATTATGCCCCGGTAAAATAAATTATAATTTATTTTCAGCAAAATAAAAATGTTATATTTTGTTTTTAGAATTTTCGACCGAATATTTGCGATTGGAAAACGTTTCTGAGCGGAGCTAGGTAAACTGGTAAGGGGTCATATAATATTATTATTTCTTTGTTTAGCCATGTATGATTTAGCCGAGAAATCAACAGCAAAAATAAAACCTATGAGTATAATATTTGTTGTCGTTTGTTTTTTATTTTGTATATTTTTTGAAAAGCTATCGAGTATCTTGAAATATGTTTCGAACAAGAGTGGGATAAAAAAAAAATATGCGTTTATTTTGAACTATGATGCGAACCGTTTTGTTATAGCTTCGACTAATCGAACAAGTTACTTCAACAAAAAAAAAAACAACTTTTTATTGAAATTACAACCGTTTTGTCTGGCACAACTGGAATTTAAAATTAAATTACAACCGTTTTTGACAAAAATATCAATTATATATTACGAACGTTATAGTGAAAAGTTTAAAATTTCGGCCAATAAAGGCCGCGCAATAACAGCGTACCAATGCGAATTACTCGGCAACTCCGGGAAATCGTGTAACATTAAAAAAACATTATATTACATAGGCGGCTCGTGCCCGTATTATATTATTGTTTCGTAACTTTACAACGCGTGTCGCGCATTACCACCGTTTCGTCCGCGGGCGCGACTAGAGCGCCGACTTTCGCGGTGCTGAAACGTGCAGGCGCGTCACGAAGACCCGCGGGAACAATGCTCCGCGCGATCCCCTGCACGCGACGCTCATACTAACGGTGCTAAAGATCCACCGGCACCTACGGACCTCACTAGTGGCGCGCGTTTCGGCGCCGCGCGTAAAACAAACCTATTTCGCCGGTCAATTTAAAACGGGCGATTGGCCGCCATTCCGACAAGACCGTTCCAATCGAAATTAGGGCGCACGAATAACTGATAGCGAACGAATTGCACGGAATTTAAATAAAACATTTACGTCGGCCCGGACCCGATACCGCCCCGAGGAAGCGCGAGCGTCTCGAGTTTTAATACAAACCGTTCGTACGAAAACGTCGGCGAAAAGCCGCCCGCGCGGGTTACGGACGAGACGGAGGCTAAACGGCGGAATACCTCACCCTACCCGTTGGTTCGAACCCAACAACGCACCCACGCTTCGACCCCGTCGGGCCGGCCGCCGACTGTTACAATTACGATGACCGATAAGACGGCCCATTTCGAACCCATCCGTTCGGCTCCGCGGATTTGGCCAACGGAATCGGCTCGTTTTCCACGTACCGTTGGCGTTTCGATGCGGTTACGTTCGCGGATCGTTGTCGGCAATGTCGTTCCCAAAATATTACGCGCGTTATTTTTTCGTTAATTTTTCCTCGTCCGCAACGC